CAAAGCGCTTTGAGTGGAGTTTCCAGAAAAGTGCTATATAAGCAATTAATTAATTAAGACTGTTACATAATCTTAGCCCATAGCACATTTGTAAAGAGCAGAACATCTTTGCCATAGAGAAACCAATAAATCCAGTCAACCATAAATCTCGGGAAAAATGAGCTAATCCTTACTCTCTGTCCTGTATATCACTTGGTAGTTCGAATTTATTCAGCTGAGGTGTACAACTAGATGGATGTCCACTCACTACATTAAGGGTGTTTGCCATTTTCTCCAAAGACAAATTCCAGACTTCCTCCCTTGAAACGTTTTACCTTTTCAAGACCCATCTAAAACTTTTGTCAGAATGCTAGCCTGCAGTTCTAGAATCTGCTCGCCTTCAGCATAAGGGCTTTATCATGATCTAATATTTCACTGAAGACTATAGCAACATTATAGATATAGCTAGACTGTATTTTATATTGTGAAAATTATGTCTTTGTTGACAAATTTATTTATATTCCAAGTTTTCTAGTTTACTCATTTTTGGCTAAACATTTTCCCAGCTATTTACACAAAACAAAACTGCTCAATTTATTTCTACTGGATAATTATGACTTTTTTACTGTAAGGTAGTATTTTTCAACATTTTTATGACATTTATCTGGCTAATTTGAGTATTCAACACACTATCTGATAAGTTCAACACAATTATCCTTTGCACCATTTATATCACAAATCTGTAATTGTCAAACCATACATTAGTTAGCTACTTGTAAGAAGTTGTACTACTTGTACTACTAGTAAGTAGTAGTATTGCTTAGCATGATTACTCTCAGTGTACAGTTGAGGTCAGTTTTGTATAGGTTCTTGAAGTCTGTTTTTATTTAAGAAATAAGACAGCTGTGAAGACTTATTGTCTGTGAAGTGCAAATCATATCCATATTAGCTAGTTAACAGAAAACACTGAAGACTAGACAGGATTGCTGCACCATCATGAGAATGTTCTGCAACTAACATTCTAATCACATCCTGTATCTGTGACGGTGAGCTGCAGGAACCACATGACCATCGAGTTCACATGAGCGATCATGCATCTACATCAAAGGTTTATTTAATAGTTTATATATTATATACATATGAACCCAATCTAACTGAAATTGCAAATTGAAAATTAACTCTGCCTCCTAAGGTTGTTTCAACATGCCAGATTTCTGTTTGATTGACACCTAGCCAACTGCCGTCTCGAATGAAAATGAATCATGGCTCGCCGTTTTTTGGGTGGCTGATTTTGGAAACACGGCTATGTTATGTGCATTTTTTTTTAACACCAATAAAGAAAAAAAAAAAGGTGTGTAGTGACCTTCATTTGGTCAGCATTATTTTGATTTTGATTTCCAAAGAATTGCAGATTCAATCCTGTATCGTTGCTTATGGAATGCCCATCTTCACAATCCAGGCTCAAATTTGTTATGTCTGGATCTCATTCTCCAGCTCAGTCACTTGTGAATACTGAGTTTAATCATTAGACTTCTTTCAATTAATTGTTATCTTTCAGTCACAACACTACAAGCCCAGATGTTTCAACATACTGAACTCCAATTTTGTGTGTATAGTAACATGGTTATAAAAGTATTAACATCTAAATTCTCTAATTCAGTGATTCTCAAACTGTGGTACGCATACCGGCAGTGGTACGTGGCGTGCAGCCAGGTGGTACGCCAAATGACCCTAGAACTGTGTTGTGTGCACTGAAAAAATCGGGACGGGTTTTCATATTTTGTATTTTTATACGTGTCGAATACGCAGCCTACGTACTACGATACAGTGCGCGCTAATACTTCAGTGGACACAAGAGATACTCTGTAATTCTATACCACTCTATAGGAATGCGTGCTACGGACACAAGTGACCAATTGTATTTAAAAAAGCTACTGCATCTCCAGCAAATAGGGAGAAAGGAGAATGTGCGTGATTTTGGAACAATGCCAACGTTGTAAACACAGGAATGCATAGAAATGCGTGCTGGTAATCTTGTGAGCACAGGAAAGCGTGAAAAATAACAGAAAAATGTTTAAGAACTCTTCTTAGTTAATTTGAGAAAAATACACCGAGCGTCTCTGTGTTTCTCTCCCATGCGCATGAAATAAATACTTAAAATAAAAACGGAAACGTGGAAAAATGCATGCTTGCGGATTGCTAAAGCAGGTAAGCCCCACACTATTATGTGTGGAGAAAAAGCTGCTGAACAGCTCGACCTGCTGCCCCCCCGAAAGACACAGTCATTCATAGAATTATTGAAATGAAATATTATATCAAAAGTATGCTGACAGCGCGCGTTAAGATGACCAGATGTTTTTCACTGCAATTAGATGAGTCTGTAGTCGATTTGGCCAATTTGCTCGTTTACGTTAGATACGAGTTTGAGGGTACGTCCTGTGAGGACTTTCTGTTCTGTAAGCCGCTACCAACAGGAACTACATGAGAGCACGTATTTCAGCTTCTGAATGAATTTATCGCAGAGAATGGCATCGACTGGATAAAATGTGTCGGAGTTTGTACAGACGGTGCTAGAGCAATGACAAGCCAACACAGCGGTGTAGTTGCACGAATTAGAGAGGCTGTTCAAGAAATTAATGGTTTCATTGCAACATCCACCACGAGACCTTTGCCGTCAAGAAAATGCCATAGGATTTAAAATCTGTTAGACTGTTATGAATTGTATCAAGGCTCGAAAAATTAATTCACATCTGCTTTGTTCAACTAAACAGGCTCACCCCTCTCACTGAAATGGTGCTTTTTTATTTTTATGTGTTTTTTTCTGTAAAACACTTTGAGAAGCCACATTTTAATATATCAAACAAAGTCTATTATAATAATATTTATTATATGTATGTGTGAGTGTGTGTGCACATGCACTCATGTTGGTCATTGATAATTTCTGGGGTTCCTATGAGATGATGACTTGTAGGTGGTACTTTGATGCTTTGGTTGGATTAGGGGTGGTACTTGGTCCAAAAAGTTTGAGAACCACTGCTCTAAATGACCAGTGAGCATCCCAACTATTTTACCACAGAGTGGGCAGAAATAAAAATCTCAACACATATCAAAAGAGCATTATGGATAATTCTTTACAATATCAAAAAACTCATCAATAGGTAACATTTACTCCTATGCAATGCAGGACAAAATGATTCTACATCACTCAGATGGGAGGGTGATTTTTCAAAGTGAAAGAACATGGACATGAAGAATGGTTAAAAAATAAATTGTATAAAAAGTGAAACTTCAGGCTGATATAAAAAGTTTTGTTTGATCTATGGAGGCATCATTCATAAATAGCTTATATTTAGAGAAACATGATATCAAGGTGCACAGAGGACAACATAACAGTGTAAAAACCTATTTACTGGACTCAGTTTGACTCCCAGATGTACTATGCAAACATTTCCTACTGTGATTATATCATGGATTATTCTGAATAGCACTGAACACACAAAATTATATAGGCACAAGGAAAAAAAAGGAAAATGTTTTTTTACAAATTTAATGTAAAATTAGTGGTGTGTTTAAAAAAAATAAATGGCTCTTACCTGTCAATATTGGAATAAAACCATTCATAAATGCACCACTTGTGTGCTTTTGGAAGTTTGAGGAGGTTTCGCAGTCTCAACCCAATCTTTTGTGATGCTTTCTTATCTGGAGTTGCAACAGTTGTAAGTTTCTAATTTAAAAGAAATGTAAAATATAGGGCATTTAGAAAATGTGCATACATTTTGCAGTGCCTGGAATTTTAAATTCAGACCTGGAATGTACCATTTAGGTCTGAATAACTGCCTGTATTTAAATTTGAAATCAATTAAGATGATGCTACAGAGCAGATTAAAGAGATTAATTTCTACCGATATCTCTAAGTAATAATGGTCTTACTGTATTTTTGTATAGTTAATTATAAATCTTTAATAACTGCTATACAAAACAAAACAACTGGCTAATATGACAGACAGATATAAATTACATATATATGATAAAGCTTCTGTACCTATAGCATATATGCCAAAACACATTACTTTTCCATAAGTTATTTTACTTTTAACATTTAAACTGTCAGAACCTATTTAATTTTTAAAACCATAAAACAATACCCATGCTCACCTGGCTCATTCATGTTTTATTTAAACCTGTTCAGTTTGCTTACATTTTAACAGACTAGATAGAACTGAACTGCTCTAAAGAATTGAAACTTTCCCCTACATTATACATTTAAATAATGACCAAGGAGAAATATGAAAATAAGAAGAGTAACATGAAATCAGGTAAAAAAAGACTAAGAATGTATGTTGAATTGTTTTCATTGTTAATTCTAGGTTTTCTTTTGAAAACACAGAAGAAAGTAAAGAAGCAGTCAACCTTTTTTAACAATAAGTTATATTTTAAGGTAATGTAACCAAAAGCTAACTGAACTGGATATAAGCATTTGTATATTCTTCTGTTAAATTACTCTAGTATATTTTATAATATTTTATTCAATATTATTCATTAAAAGGCATTATCAGCTTTTTTAAGATGTGTTAAGTGATATGTGCTCTTTACATCCACTACTAGATTTTTAAAATTGATTTATTTAATGAGAAACATGATTGTAAACACCTGAATATCAACACGCAGCACATTGTAACAGAGCAACATTACGAGCTGACGAGCTGCCTGGTAGCTTTCCTCTTCCCCTCTCCTGCAGGTTTAGCTGTCAAACTGTCACCAATTGAGTTAGTTTAGCTGTGATCATGCAGACCTAGGTATTTTGCAGATATGGTTTTCCAGGTCTTTTTTATATATACATCTTAAAGTTTAAACACATTTTAAATGGTTCTATGATTTAATGGCTATTTTTATTTTTCCCCAATTTAATGGTTCATCCATTACTACAATCAGAATATGATACAGTATTTTAACCCTGCCGTTGAAGACTATTCTATTCTATTCTAAATGCGAGACAAGTAGCCAAAAAAACTGAGCAAACAGTAGTGTCAATAACCAAAGTAAATGGAGAAAGTGTCACCTGAGGTGCTGTAATTACTCTCTGGCTTCTTCTAGGAGACCTGGAGTTCATCTGTCGGTCTTCATCCTCACAAAGCAAGCGGCTCCTTTTAGAGCTTCTTGTTGGCTATATAAGATGAAAGGAAAATTAAACACCTGAAAAACTCCACTTTAGCCACTTGAACTGTAATCAGGATCTTGAAAAATAGCCAAAAGCTAGTTAATATAAATCATGTTCATCTGATTTAAAAAAAATCAACTTCAGCATATATACACACACACACTACAGCTTCTTCCCTAAAACAAATCAATGACTTAGAATATACATTATATCAAGCAATGCATTTAAATATTCTTGCACAACAATATCACAAAGATTCTTCCTATCCTTATAAAAAATTATGTTAAATTTTAGAAAACCAGCTGTATGTATTCAATTTAATTATAGATTTATAGTTTTTATATATATTAAAATTCTCATGAAATACATCATATATTGAAATAGTTAAATTCAAGTCCCATTTTATCCAACACAGCATTGCTCTTGAAGTGATCTGGGCATTCTGCTTCTACACAAGCACAACCTGTCCCACTTGACAAAGTAAAGCTTTGTGTGGTGCATAACAGCAGAACGTCCAATCCTAGCTCTAGAAGGCTGATGTGTGCACAGGTTTTCATTTCTTCTCAGATCTTAATTACTCAAATAAGCTAATTTGGCTAAACTGGACCAGTTTAACATCTTCTCCAAGGTCTTAAAGCACCAGCAATTTAAGAGATCTAGAAATCCATACACATACTGTAGCATGCAGACCTTAAGGACTGCTGTTTGACTGCTTGCCTAAAGGTGCCCCACCCCAACTTTACATGGAACATCCTTCAGCAAAATAAAGGGTGTGATCCACCATCAATTCCACTGTTGAATGCAGCAGTCATGTGCTCCTATTTTAAGCAGCTCTATTTTAAGTGTATACTTACCAAAAAGGTTGCTTAGAAAACAGCAGAAAAACAACTTTCTGATCTTAAAATACAGTAAGATTGTTTAAACAAGCAAACTGTAAAAGTTACAAGTTAAAAGAAAGAGTTAATTTATTGTAACATAAGGCATAAAGTGAAACCAAAAATGTGAAATGTACTACTAGGATGTACCTAGGTCCTGACTGTGGTCATTAAAAATCCTAGGGCGTTTCTTAAAAAGTAGGGGTGTCCTAGACAAATTTCCTCCTGGCTTTTACCAATCATGGCCTCCCAAGAACCCCTACGTATGAATTGACTTAATTACTTTACTACATTAATTATTAACTATTAATTATTATACTACAATAAATTAAGAGATGTTTTTCAGCTTATGTAGAAGAAAATGATTCCACACTTATTGAGTGGTGCTTCTCCACTCAGCATGACAAGTTCATTAGGGGAAAAAAAAAAAAGAGGAAAACCAAAATGGTTAAATCAATCTCCACATTTAAACCCAATTGAGTATTTATTATGCTAAGGAAAAAAAGTCAAAAGATTACACAAATTTTGTTGAGCTCAACAGGTTGCCTGATACTGACTATTACAAACCACTCAGAAATGTGCCTAATGTAAATGTGTCCTGAAATCAGCGGGTCATCACAGTGGTTCACATTACCAACAGAAAGTAAGTTTTTGTTCAAATATAAAATGTATGCATGTAATTTACCTAAAATAAAGCATTGTACTTGTCATTCATATGACTGCCGTCCCAATATTTTTTGAAGGTCATTGTGTGTAAATTGCCTTTCCCTGCTTGCATCTGCTTACGCTGCTGGGAAATTAGCAGTCAAAGTCATATCATGTATAGTGGTAATATTCATCCATGCCCAGTATCACCCGAGGAACTGGAGAGCAGAACAAGTTAAAAATATATTAATTGTAACTATTAGTTTTGTTTAAATAAGATTTGTTTCCTCATGTAATGGATTATTTTTAGACAAGCAACAGACTAAATACAGTATATGTATTCTGAATCCTTTACACAATCATGTCTTTAACATTACAACCGTGTAAAGTTTGTAACAATGTATAAAACTAATTGCTCTTTAAAGAAGAGGGTTCAATCTCCACAAGTGAAGCCAGGTAAATTAAACTCTCCACCTTCCCAAAGGACCAATCATCACTATCAATTAATCCACCACATAAATTAATGAGACAACTGTTCATGATAAACTGACAGCAAGGAGTGACAAAGGTTAATGCCCAACAAACATCTGGTGTTTATCTGACAAAATGACAGACTGAGATTTTTCAAAATTTATGAAGCCTTGGTCCAAGATTCTTATTTATCAAATAAAGCGAAGAGAATCTCTTACCGTTTCCATGGATGAATAGTTGCTTCTTCCCTTACTGTTCTGAGGCTTTGGTACAGAGCTGTGTTTTTCATTCCATGTGTTAGATAAACTGCCCTCTGTTAAATATTAATGAAAAAAAGTCTTTAGACATGTTTTCCAAAACCATGAGCACATGTGCAGCAGCACATTCACAACAAAGCCAAGTTCTATTGAAGTAAAGTTCTATTAGTATGAAGCTCTTATCCTAGCTTAGTTTCTTGTTAGGAAAATAATAATTGTACACTTAATAGAAATAGGACAGGGAATCTCAGACATGGAAGCAGGAGTTCTAGTACTGTAAACTACACACTGGAGTAAGCCAGTGTGGTACTGGACTGAAAGGCTGTGAAACCTACATAATGAAGGTTCTCTTTATTGCTTTAGTTTAGTTTTTTTGTGGTTGTTTTTTAAACCTCTACCTTTCATAGAATTACTTCCGAGAGATCAAACTCGATATGCAAGCAGGAACACCACACGATTGCTGCAGTTAATCAATTTCAGGACTAATTAAACAAATGATATACTATACAGTCTCAAACAGCATTGGCTTGAACATACTTCCTTAATGTTACAGAACTCTACAGAACACAAAAAAGTAAGAAAACAATTATTGGATAATGATCTACATAAGAGTAGATATTAATTAATTTACTTAACTGCCACTTAATTCTATAACGTTGACTGCAAGCCAAGTCAAGCCAGTATTGGCACCATCCATTCTAAATGTACAAAATCTCCCTGGATTAAGATGAAAGTACTTGTTTTTCTTTTGATCACATTGTTTTTCTCATAGTGACCAATTATAGCAGGCAAAACATGTCTTTTCCTGCTCTTAAATGCCCCTGCACTAAAAATCTCATCCCTGTTCCAACACCATAGTAACAGCAATACTGGAGAGGGGATTGTGTATCTCACTGTAGAGGAAATAAAACCACATTGACAGAGCTAAACCAATAATTCTACTAACGTTTAAAAAAATGCAGCCGCCCAAGGCAGTTAAAATGGTTGTATACATTGTTTAATTGTATACTTTGACACTCATTATATTAACTCTAAGCTGAATTTGTTTAGATCTTTTAATGAAATTCTTGCTTTTATCACCTAAATGCAATTTTTCTAATTGTTTTTGGAAGACTCACAATCTGTCATAAAGCAAAGACAATCAGAATTAAGAGGCATGCTAATCCTTTTGTTTTTTTTTTCAGCATAATGCAAACTAGTGGACACAAACTAAGGGGAAGTACGTTTAAAAGAACCACCAAAGGCTTTACACAAACGGTTGAGAGAGTAGCTACAGAGCAACACTGTCAAAAGTCTAAAACATCTGGTTCTTTGAAGAAACAGCTGAAAACCCTAAGATCAATTAACAACTAAAAAAAAATGAGGTAGACAGGTAATTTGGCATCCTCTCGTTTGCAAAATGTCTTATTTTTTTATATAGCCTTCTTATTATTTTCACCCTCATTTTAGTCCTGAGCAGCATATTTTACTTATCAACAAAGCTCTGGGGTTTTCATTCTGCCACACTGTCATAATTTTAAATATTAATAGGCTGATAAAAAAAGCTCACTTTTGTACGTTCGTTTTCTCAGTTTAATTCATGTTAACTGTTCAAACGCATACACCATTTTAAAACTAATGCCATCAGTGTGATCAGTTAAGAATAGTATTACAATAAACCAGCTTTATCTTTCAGAAACCAGGACAACTTTTCACAATCTTTTTTGCAGAACCTACTTAATGGTATTAGATTCATACAGGCCTGCTGTAAATATCCATTTCTTAACATGGGAAACATGTTCCAATTTTCAATATAATCAGCAATTCTCAGCATGTAGTGAGAAGGAGCTATAAACTTTATTGCACGTTGTCTCCTCCAAATTAGCGACCAAGACAGTAGACGTTCTTCCTCAGATTTTCACCACTTAATTTTGTCTCTGTGGTAAATAATCACATGAATTTTCAGGTCTAATTACAAACTGTTTGACAAAATGTAAAGAACTTGATTTGTGCAGAAAGACTGAAAAGAGAATATGAATGCCAAGAAACAAAGACACCAGCTGCTCCGCTCCTCACTGTTAGGAAGGTGCTATATAATGTTGACTAATCTTCTTAATATCACTTTTTATCTGACAGTCAACTAAGCTTTCTTTTAGGTTTGGTAAGTCTCTCCTTGATAATCATTTCAACTGCATAGATAATAAGGCTCCAAGAATGTTATACCATCTTACTGTTTACAATTAATCATTTCACAAAAACTTTGCATGAAACGTATTTGAAAAACAGAAGTACTTACCTTTCAAACTCACAAGAGCTTTTGCTGAAGAGCCTAAAAAACAAAACAATTGCACTTCTTTCATTTCTTACAGCTCTTTTCAAAAACACATAAATGTCTCTACATACACACACATTTGGTCCAAAGGTCAGTCATGTTATTATAATTTTCCTCAGATCTAGCTGGAGACACTAGAGTTTTAACTCCTAAAACCTGAAACTGACAGTGCAAACTCAATGCTCTGTACAAGCAAACTGACATAGCATTAAACCCCTCACAATAAAAAGGGTTGAGCATAGGAAACTCCCTCAGCCGCCAAAGCTCTTTCGTCATTGGAAAGAAAAGGACAGATCGTTACGTACTATACGCTAAAAGTTCCATTAAAGCTAGTTTTGCTATGCACTGGAATAAATATTCATCATGGTTTTTATCTATAAGCTTTTTTATTGCTCCTTTGATGCTCTATTTGTAATTAACACAATAATAACTTATATCACATATCATATTCAGGTTGAATACTGTGCAAATATGCCTCTAATCTATGATCTACTCAGAAATGTAACTCTTGTAACTTGATTTCAGGTATAGAACAAAACATTTTCAGTTTTGATTTTAGGGCAATTGAGTTACATGTGAACTGGATTAGTATTTTTGACATGAATGGTATATCGTTACGCAAAATTCAATTAGCAAACACACCACAGATTATGATCTACATCTGTATGTTCTTTCTTAACATCTATACCTGGAAAGTAAAAAACAGTGAATGTATTAAACTCTGTATTACCTCAACACCAAAAATAACTAAACCTTGTAATTAATTAAAATAAACCCTTTTGGCATTCTCTGCTATTGTGAAGATTTTACAAAGGACAAATATCAAAATCAGAATTTCTTTCCATCTGCACAATAATCAGCACTGAAAATTCGATGTCAGTTAGCAGTTCATTACCAATTAAACTTATTTAATCTGTCCAGAACAAGAAAAAGTTTGATAACATTTTCTGCATTAACCTCAAGGCTTTCCTGGGCATGGCAATAAAGTGAAAATTGGGGCTATTAAAAATTTCAGTTCTTTTGAGAAAGTGCGAGGTAGCAGACTAACAAAGTTTGTAACAGATCTCTATGATCGACAATACAGTTCAGTCTTCTTTCAATCAATAGATTGTGTTTTGCATGTACACATTATTTAGTAGTATATTGTTACAAATGAGGTTTACTAAATTAATGAGAAAATCAGAAACTGACCAAGTGGATTAGTCAATAAGTAAAATAATCATAACCAAATGAATAGGAACGCATCTCCCTATTCTATAATGTACCCACAAACCAGGAGAGACCGTTCCAAACTGGGTTCCCTAAAAACCACACAAAAGCAAGCTCTCTTAACAAGGCTCAAATACTTAACTTTTTAACTTAAAAAAAAGAAAAAAATCAGTAACAGAGCCACACCGGTATTATGTGTTCTATATTACGGTATAGAACTGTTTAGTTCGCAAAAAAAGAGAAATTGTCATGTTGTGGAAGTTAGGGTTTTCTTTTATTTGTATGAGAGAGAGGTTAAAGAGAAAAAAAGTTTTGGTTCATCCAACTTACAGGTGTCTTCAGTACCCACTGTCCAGCAAATACTTAGTTTCAATCTGGTTTCCCAGGGTGATCTCAAACAAGGCCCTCTTGCCTGACCCACGCTTTATGTTTTGTGTCCACATCTCTCTTTTCAGTCCCCACCACCACCATTCCCCTGTGTCTCCCTGTCTTTATCTTATACTTTTGATACTCTTAATCATTTACCCAGAACTTCAGAAAATCAAAAAAACTATTTTTCAGTGTCTCTCACTCCCAGCACAACTAAGTAAATATTCCTTGGTTTGAAGCTATAAGAACTGGAAATGTTGACTATCTAGGCATAACCCATTGTCTATAGATTCTTTGAGACACTTTCATAGTCACCTACAATAGTCTAAACCGGTGCGGTGGCACTCTGGGTAAGGATCTGCGCCTGTGGCTGGAAGGTTGCCGGTTCAAATCCCACAGAGGAATCCTACTCTGTTGGGCCCCCGAGTAAGGCCCTTAGCCCCAGCTGCTCCAGGGGGGCTGTATAAATAGCTGACCCTGCACTCTGACCCCAAGCTACTCTCCCTGTCTGTGTGTCTGTGTCTCATGGAGAGCAAGCTGGGGTATGGGAAAAGATGAATTCCTAATGCAAGAAATTGTATAGGGCTAATAAAGTGATCTTATCTTAAAACAACATGGGTATGATGCATGCAGCAGAAAAAAAAATTAATCCATCTTAAACCAATTCATCACAATCTGAGATGAACTAAATCCACGTTCGAGCAGCTAAGCAGAAAGGATGGCATAGCTTGAGATGCTGTCAGGAAGGTGAAACATAAGAGTATAACAATTTGGTTACTACAGTTTATGTAATAAGTATATCATCTGTAATAACCCAATAATATGCCACTGTGGTTCAAAATTCTACTTCAGGAGATTCCTGTGACAGAGAAGTGATGCGTGTTCACAGGTAGCCCAAATATATTTTTGGTCATATTATTGATAAAGTGGGGTCATATATATTTTTACCCTTTCTACGTTTGTGAGATATAGCTAAATAACTACTACGTATTCTGCCAGAATCCACAATCGCGTATTATCTGTTCCAAATGACTCTGTTGACTTATTATTCAACAATCCACCATAAGAAAATTTGTCATCATAAGTAATTTAATTTTCATCTGAAAAAGCATCTATAAAGGACAGTGAGTATCAGCAGGAGAACTTAAGGAGATCTAGCCTACATTTTAGAAATGGATACATATGTAATTGAAAAATCAGCTCTATAAAACAAACTAACTGCACTTACTTTCAAAACCAGAAGTCAAACTATGTATAATCTGTCACTCCAAGAAAGGCCATATGATGAAAACACAAAATGTGTGCAATTATTAGCAAGTTCAGCCAAGAAAAACAAGAACATGTGGCATTTTGCCACTCCATATTCAGGGAGATTCTTTGACTGGACATTGAAGATGCTGTAAATAACATAGTAGGAGGGCAACATGAAGGAACATGATCTCCTTGATAACAGTATAAAGTATTCTTCAAATTAATAAAATCATTTTTAATTTTCATTATCATTAGAATGTTAAATTCATGTTCTGTTAAATACATGAGCAATGCTAGAATAGACACACAAGATTTTAGAAACCCTAGAAATGAGAAAATCAAAGAAATTCTTAAGCCGAGAAGAGACTACATAAAGTGTTGTATGCTAAAGCTGTTACACAGTACTTGGGTATTTTTTAAACCAAGGCCTAGGTTCCTAAAAAAGTAAGCCTACCAACAATATGCATCACTGATTAAGGTCAAATTTCAGAACCAGGACTGAGAACCAATGAAATACCCATTCCAAGGTTCTTCATTATGGTATAAAAGCTACAGTTTCTTGCCTAACAGATGCATGTTGGAAACCTTTAAATCTATCCAAGTCCTTCTTCAGCAATTGTTTGCATGAAGGTCAGTCCATTACCAGAGCACTTGTTTAATATTTGTCACAAATAAAACATGGAAATCAATGAATATCAAAAGATTTCTTTTTTTTTAAAATCTACACTTTTGATGATAATTTCAATTCCACATTTCCAATTGTGAAAATTTCATAGATATCTCCATTCATCCATTTTCTAACCAATTTACCCAATAAACCCAATTGCACAGAAGCAGGAGCATAGCTTGGCAAGCAACAGGCACAAGGTGGGATTCACTCTGAATGGGACATCAGTCAATCACAGGACAATCACAGAGACAGAGACACACATTCACACCAGGGCCAATTGTCCCACAAGTCATAGAGATCTTTAAGTTTTCCAATTTGCCAGTCCATTGCTTACAGAACTGTCTTTCAACAAAAAGAGTATAGTTTGTCCATATTGTAATAACACTATGTTCTGCAGTACAACTAAATTGTATTCATATAGCTAAGATACAATTAAGTTTATGAAATGCAATGAGAATGTTACCAAAACAATATCAATGGAAAACCATCCATCTCATTTTAAATACGAACAAGCTCCAATAACGTTTTCTGCAGATTTTTAAATTTAATTCACTGTACAGCAGGCATTCGATATGCACTGCTATCCAGTTAACACTCCTGTCATGAGCTGTTTGAGCACACAGGTAAACAATGTGTTTACAGTACAAAAAATGATAGACATTTCACGGTACTTTTTTACACAAGAGAATTTCGCTTCGCTCAATAAAAAAGTTGATAAAATGAACACGTCAGTGTAAAGAAACGCAGAGCTTTATTATTCTCCGTAGGCTCCAGCTAAATTGTTGTTGTGGATTTAGAAAGGGGAAGACCTGCATACCTTTTCGTTGATGATACACAAATATATCAAATTCTCCTTTGTGTGTACCTAAAGAATGACTGTCAAAAAGGTTGCACAATGCTCACCTCTGTGTTTTTGTATTGATATTAGCTACTTCATTAAAAGCAGCTGATCATGGCACAAACAAGAAATATTCGCGTCAGAAACAATTCCGTTAAGCAGTCCAAATTCATTTCGGGCGTGTTTTTCAGAAACACTTGAGCAGTGTCCGTTCAGTATTACTCTTGGAAATACTGTTTCCGAACATTTTTATCAGTTTTTAAACCGCTTGTCAGTTTTGTTGTTACTCACTCTCGTCCAGCAGCTGCTCCAGCTCCGCCATCTTGAATGAGCCGCGCCGCTTTTTCAAAGGCTGCCGGTCGGAATGCATTGTGGGACAGAGACTGCCGGAGAGGGCAGTTCGAATGCGGGATGGATGTTTAGTGCGCTTGTTATTCGAGTATTTTTGTAATTTAAAGTTGAATTTATCATTTGGCTTGTTCTTTAATTCGTGATTCTAGAGAGTATAACATTTTACAGTACAACCTTAGCATTGCACACCTATGACGGAAGAAGAAGAATGTTCTGTGTACTACTCTTATCTGCACTCTAGCTACTTCATGATTTCCTGAAGTGAAACTTCTGGTTTATAACAGAGACTAGGGTTGTGACATAACCAGGCCTCCCTGAGACAGAACAAGTTTGTAATGTTGCCTTTAAACTAAAATATATTAACGTTATTAGGTGTCTGCTCATACCTAATAACTCAAAGATGATTATTGTTGATAAAAGTTGTTGAATGTTATTTTTCATGACATATATTAATTTTGGTATTTCTCCATTAATAGTAGGAAATCTAATATGAGCACATTCTTCCCTAAATAAAAATAACAATTATTTCTTCTGCTAGCAAATACTGGAAACAGCTCATCTGACCAGGGGAGTTTCGGCAAATCAGAATGATATTTTAGCAAACACAAAAATATAGGCAAGTGTAAAAGACAAAATATCTTGTATATCTCCAAACCTGAAAAGGTTTATTTTACATACTGTGCTCATCACAAAGTGTTTACAGTAGACAGAAAAGTAGGCATATGCAAGGCAGATATGCATATACACAAGAATGGTTTAATGCCTATGATTTACATTTGTAATAGCATATTCATTATATATATGACATGTACTTGAAATATTTATTTTGGTCTTTTCAGAAGTTGTTTTTTTAAATCCCTGGGCCTGAAGAGGGTGCTATAAGACATTTAATAAAGCCATTATTTGCTTCTCATAAATCATTGGACTAGTCAAATTCAGATTATGTTAAATACAGAGTAAAAGTTTTGATGACAGAGTAACCATACAGGATTTTTAATTAGATTTAAATTACTAAAATGCAAGAGGGGCAACAGCTGCAATAAAAAACAATGCTGGTTGGTACGCTTCACTTTTTTCAAATCAAATACCTCCCTCAGAGATTAGCTCCTCCCCTGGAGAATGGGCTTCCTCCAGTGTCCTTCTGTTGCCTGGTGTTGGTGGGTTCTTGATGATTTCCAACACTCCTCTGGCAACTTCAGCTCGAGCCTCTTGCTTACCTCTGCTGGCTCCACTAACCTGTGTAGATGACATGGTTAGGGATGGACACCAGAACAAAGCAGTTCAAGCTGATGATCAGCTTCTCCTTTGCCCTTAAAGGCTCTCTGACTTCAGGTGCTTGATGTAAGGAATCAAAAACACAGTCTTGCCTATCTATTTTTTCAATTATCTCTGCTCTGTTAAAAGAAAGGGGCATGGAATCTCCAATTAAAATGGATTAGTGAGCAAATAAAACTGTCAAAATACATTCGTGTTTAGACTTTTATAATGCCAGTGAGAAAAAGTTACTCAGACTATTTCTATCTGTCTACCTAACAGAAAGAATACAATAGAGAAAGCCTTCTGTAATACAGATAACAGGGGCGATGGCATCAGAACAAGGGCTAGATTTTTACCTCTGAGGTTTATTATATGTTTGCTCATTTTTAAGCTTATTAACAATCCCTTTACAGTGTGTTCTTTCCAAGGCATTCCCTATTTAAAATGTAATAATAAAAGAAATCAGGCAAAATAGGAAGTTATTAACTTATTGTGGGATTTAGCACGATTTTTGTAAGATGTTCTTTATTTCATGCCTTGGGGTGTAGAAGAACTGTCTGTAGTGTTAATGAGTAATGCTGCTATCTACTGTATACAACCTAAAGCCTTTTTAAGGCCATAATGTTAACCACACTGTTAATACAGCTAATTAGGACCATACCCAAGGCAAGACTCTCATGAGTATGAAAGCACTTTGGAACTGACAGAGATTCTGTAGAAGGAGGTCACTGTAATCAGCCACGACAGGACTTGTACTGTGCGTGATATTCTCCAGTACCAATGTTTATTAAGGAAAAACAAACAAATCCAAAACAAATGAACTTCAGGATCATTCCCATGCCATTAGTCAATGTGCAATTTATTAACACCAAGTTTACTCCCACAAGTTGCCTTTAGACAGTAATGATGTCTCCAGATGTCTTCTTAAACAGATTATTTCAGAGGAAACTACAATGGAACGGAATAATTACCACAGGGAACATCAACGGACCTGGTGAGGATGCATATTTGCAGTATTCTCAAGACATAATACAGCAAAATGGCAAACTAATTCTTGAATATTGTAATAACAACCATACAAAGAATAGTTCTGGACTGGCAGAGCTAAAAAATGTTATGATAGAATTTAAGATTTGGAGTGTTTAGTGTATCTCATTATTAAACTGAAAACTAACCTCCATAGGTAAATTGACATGGCCTGCGCAGAAATTCTGAAGTGAATTGGGTTTATAAGCTAGACATATAACATCCTCTGGGAGTCTGTTACAGCAATTTGAACTATAAAAATAGGGTCTCACAAGAATTTGCACTAGAATACATGGAAAAATAAATGTCATAAACACAATGAAAATAAAACAAAGGTCACATAAGGAAAAGGAAGATAGACAAAAGACAAGAAATAATTTCAATACTACCAGATTTATGGAAACATGATGACCATGTATTATGAAGGAAAGATTACCTGACCTGAACTCAGAGTAAAAACCTCTATCCACTACAACGTAAAAATCAATTTTTGAAGGCAATTTGGTGTGCTAATCAGTGGAAAGAAGCCATCAAGGACTCAATGTGTAACTAGCCAGTTCTCAGGTAGTTTAAAGGTTTGATTTAATCTTGTCTATTTTGCCTGTGTTTGTATTTAGACTTTTTAGAAATAAATTGTCCGATTAAACCTGAGTATGACTCTAATACAATACTATTAGTCCTAGAGCTTTCTGATGGTACTGTTGCAGAGAATCTTTCCGAGATTATCCCAGATGAACTATAGTCACCCTTCAGCCCAGACACCAGCCTTTACAAAAGGTCAAAGGGTGAGACTTAAAATACTACAGAAGCCGATGGAAAGTCAGTTGTTTAAACACATTTTGCCAATGTGTGAAGATGTGTTAAACTAGAGTTCTTTTAGCAGATGGGAACAGTGAGTTACTGTCCTTGTAATCCCTGTAACCTACAGTTCAGGTATTAATGTACAAGAATATTGAATGAATAGATAGTGTGTCTGTGCAACAGTTATGTAACTGTTCAGAAAGCAGCAAATCCCAAAGAAAGGTGTTTTATTCTTAATCGGTCTAGACAGCCAAACAGCCTCCTCTCATTTCTAACCTGTCTTATGTTCTTAATTAATAGGCTTATAGATGAATTATTCTGCATATCACTGTTTAATTCATAAAGTATAAAAAAGGAGTTATATTTCATTGTGTAGAATGACAAATGCTTCCTCTGAGAGCTGGTTTGGGTTAAATTGCATTCTTTACTGCACCACATACAGTTCAATATCAAATGCCTTTTCCACATGCTTCATTTTCGCTGAAAACTCTGGCAAAAATACTATTTTTATGGCATTACAGCTTGTGTTGGCAATAAGATCCCTGCCTTTGCATTTTATAATAACTAGCAGAACACTCATATGTGTTAAACTTTATACTGTTTACTTGTGTTTAAAATTAGGCATCTGCTATAAATCGGTATTCTAGCAGTAACCCAAATGCACATTTGGCATTGTATATTTGGGACACTGCTATCTGCTGGAGTAGAGGGCATGGAATTCCTTTTCAGAGTAAACTGTAACAAATGGAATCCTACTCGGAAGGTAGTGAGTAGAGACCAAGGACGGATTTTAACTTGCATTAATAAACCCAGATAAACAAATTTATAATAATAAATAAATAATTATTATTTTTATTATATTTAATAATTCCTAATCAGTATAATTCCTTACACTGATATAGCACTTTTCTGGACACAACGCTTTACAGGTAATGGGAACTCCCCTCCACCACCACCACCAATGTGCAGCATCCACCTGGATGATGCATCAGCAGCCATAGTGTGCCAGAACGCTCACCACACACAAGCTATCAGCAGGGGAGTAGAACAGAGTGATGCAACCAATTCGAAGATGGGGATTATTAGGAGGTCATAATAATGGGGGGAAATCTGGCCCAGGACACAGGAGTTTACACCCCTACTCTTTTCAAGAAACACCCTGGGATTTTAAATGACCTTGGTTTTACATCTTATACTAAGGACGGTGCCTCTTTTAAAGCACAGTGTCCCAATCAGTATACTGATCTCTCTCTCTCATCCAGGAGGTCTCTCATCCAGGTACTGACCAGGCTCACACCTGCTTAGCTTCAGTGGGCTGCTAGCTGTAAATTGCAGGGTGATATACAGTTGTGAGAAAAGTTCATGAACCCTTAGGAATTATATGGATTGCTGCATGAATGGCTCCTAAAATGTGATTTGATCTTCATCTAAGACATAATAATATACAGTCTTATTTAGCAAACAACATACACAACATTTAACATGGCTATACCTTTGTTGAACAGATGGTTTAAACATTCAAGGTTATTGATGGAAAAAGCATGTGAATCCTTATATTTAAACTGTTTCAGTTCATGTATATTTTTGGGATGTCTTGCTTGTCATGGCCTGCTTCAGATCACGCCACAGCATTTCAATGGGACTGAGATCAGATCTCTGACTTGGGCATTCTAAAACACGGAATTTATTCTGTTCGAGCCCTTATGTTGTTGATTTACTCCTGTGTTTTGGATCATTGTCATGTTGCATAAACCAACTTCTTTTGAGTTTAAGATCACAGACAGACACCCCGACATTCTGCTTTAGAATTTCCTGATGCAACTTGGAATTCATTGGTCCCTCAATGGTTGCAAGCCATGCAGGCCCTAAGGCAGGAAAGTAGCCCCACACCATTATACTCCCTCCACCATGCTTCATGGTTGGGATGAGATTTGGTGTTGGTATGCAGTGTTTTTCTCCAAACATAATGCTGTGCACATTTAGCAAAAAGTCTAACTTTTGTCTCATCTGTCCACCGAACATTGTTCCAGGAGTGCTGTGGAACATCCAGGAGGTCATTAGCAAACTTGAGACAGGAAGCAATGTTTTTTTTGGAGAGCAGTGGTTTCCTTCATGGTAACCTCCCATGAACACCACTCTTGTTCAGAGATCCTTAGCTGTCACCCTAGCGTTCTTTGTCACCTGTTTGAAGATTGTACGACGTGTCCTTGCACTGATCTTTGTAGGACATCCAGTCCTAGGATAGAGAGATACTTTAATGATCCCGTGAGGGAAATTGCATTGCAACAGCAGCTTAACACAGTTAACATAAAACAGTGTAATGAATGATACAATAATAACAATACAATACAGTACAGTATCAGTACAGTGAGAAGTGCAGTAAGAAGAGTTACTCACAGTCCAGAACATACAAAGAACAAACCAGAACAGTAGAGAAAAAGTTGTATTGCACAATATAAGTATAAATATAAATGTATTGCACAAGTCCCTGGCATTTATTGCACAAAAACAGTTGTAAATGGGAAAGCCAGATGTAGCAGTTTACTGTTCAGTCAAAAAACAGGTCAATGTCAATGTTGCCCCTGCCCAGACACAAAGTGGGTGCGTTGTAGGGAAGTAGGGAGAGTAGCAATGGTGCTGAATTTCTTACATTCGTAAACTATCTGCCTGACGGTGGACTGATGGAGGCCCAAGTCTTTAAAAATCCTTTTGTAAACCTTTCCAGTCTTATGAGCTTTAACAACTGTTCCTCTGAAGTCCTCTGAACTCTCTTTTGATCAGGCCATATAACACTTCAACAGAATTATGTTGTGAAGTGCGGGTAACCAATAGCGAGGCAGGTCAAACCCACACCCGAATTGATTGGAACACCTGACTCCAATTACCTTATTTTCAAGATGTCATTATTCTAAGTTCACGTACTTTTTCAATGACCTTGATTGTTTAAACAATTTGTTCAATAAAGATATGACAATGTAAAATGTTGTGCGTTGTTTGTTAAATAAGACTCTTTATTTATAATTATAACTTAGATCACATTTTGGGAGCCATTCATGCAGAACCCCAGATAATTCCAAAGGGTTCACAAACTATTTTTCACAACTGTAGCTGCTGGCTATTTGACTATTTTGTCATCATAGATCTCAGATGGAATTAAAACCAAAAATAGTGATGTATAGGGGTCAGATTAAAGAATGCTGGCCCACGTTTATCTTCAAACAAATGTTATTTTTTAATTAAAACTTGAATCATATTCTGTGCTGCTATAACATGCAATGAACAAACATTCATATCAAGAATGATCCCTAAAATAATTTCCAACTGATTAATATTACAAAAACATTTTCATACATTTTTTGTCCCTTCAGTTTACTGAATTAGTTGTTTTCCTAGTAGTCATTTAATCTACTAATTTAATTATTAGATTTTAATTATTGTTTTAAAGGCTTCAGGTTTTCTCCAGTTACTTGTGAAGATTGAAGAGCTGTGGTTGATACATAACTCATGTACTTGTTACTGTCCTTCTCTGGACCCCTTCCTAGGCATCAGTACCTCTCTGATAATCCGAGAACAGAACTGAACACTATTTAATTTGCTATCCAACTATGGTATTGTACTATCAGACGTACTTCAGATACAATTAATTTTGGGGGTATATAGTGATGTCAAAAAGTATGCCCCCTAACGATCCTATGGTTTTACATATTAAGACATATCTGACTTTCATCTTGTTCTCATGACGTCCTAAAGTAGATAAATCTAAGGTCTTGTGACAGATAATATGCTCAAATCTTTCAACATTATTCATTCAACAAAAAAAACAAACAGCCAGCATTCAGTAGCCATGTGTGCACCCTTACGGTTTCCATATCAATTAAAAAGGTAATTAGAATCAGGTGCTGCTAAACAAGTGCACAGGATTAGGTTATCATCAGGAAGTGCTTCCACCTGTATATAAAATCAGAAACTTCATCAGCATAGACTGGAGCATTCAGGTTTGTGGTAACACATCACACCTAGGTCAAAAGATATTTGTGACACTCCTGATATGTAAAACCACTATCTTAGGGAGTGTACTTTCTTTTTCACATCACTCACATATATATATATATTCCTTTTGCCTTGAGACACAAGAATGATAGAATAACATCAGATTGCTCAAGAAGAATCAGGATTAAATAATTAGTGAAGAACAACAGACAAGTCAGGTTTGGATAAACTTAATCGACTGAAGACTCTTTCATCTCTGCTTCAGTTCCTGAGGCACTCATCACTCTGTTCTGTGGTTCTGTAAGGTCACTGGAGATTTGTCATATTTCTGTGGTAGAAGGAGATGAGAGCTTCAAGCAGAATGGTAGCAGCCATGTAAAATCCTCAGCTCACTCTCAGAACATCTAAAATGAATCAGCTTTACAGTAACTGATTCTCAATGTTCGCAGTTCTACACAAGCATGTAGCTGAACATGTTCAAACAATCAGACTGAAATGTCACTGTGCCTGTTACTGGGTAAAAACAAAAGGAAAAAAAAAACATTACAGACTCCTAGACCAAAATTAGTTATTTTAATTAAATCCCACAGAGGTGTTTGACTCTTGGGTTGATAAAGTGAGCTTTTGTTAAAGGTCATAGATTTAAGCTTTAACTGCAACCAATCACACATTAAGTATTGTTATGAAATAGACCAAACTGCAGTGCTGAAAAAGAAAGCTTAAATGATTAAAATCTCTTGTTTTGGTACATATTGAACAAAAGTCCTACAGTAACAGGTTAACTGCACTATAGGTGTATTTGTTTCTATAAAGCTAGAGCACCTTTGCTGTAAGAGATGGCTTATGGCAAAGATGTCTGCATTGCGGAGGGAGAATGAAGCCCTGCGACCATGTTCTGTTGACATGCCCACCTGTCAGATCCATCATCTTTTGCAAAACACTTGTGTCCAAAGGCAAAAGGAATATGTATACATATGGTGGATGGAGCAATGGCACTGTGGCTAAGGATCTGCGCCTGTGGCTGGAAGGTTGGCGATTCAAATCCCGCAGCTGGCAGAGGAATCCGACTCCATTGGGTCCCTGAGCAAGGCCCTTAACCCCAACTGCTCCAGGGGCGCTGTACAATGGCAGATCCTGCACTCTGACCCCAAGCTTCCCTCCCTGTCTGTTTGGCTGTGTGTCTCATAGAGAGCAAGCTGGGGTATGTGAAAAGTATATTATAAATTCCTGAAAATTAATATTAGCAGGAGATATGCTTTTTATTTTTATGTTATGTATTTGTAAATTCTAATAAAGTAAATGCAGTGATGAGCACTTTTAAGAATTTCTCTTAAGAAAATGAAAAACATTTGAAAACCTGTCTGCATGGAGAGGCTTTTGCAATTCTGAGTACTTGCAAAAGAAAATACCACAGAATCCAAAATACCAGCATGTCAAGTCGAGACTGGATACAGGACGCAGTTTGACAAAGTACATGGAAAGACTGAATGCCTCCAAGTCAGAATCCTGCCTAAACGCAATGATACCAGAACTCTGGTTGGGCTCGAGTAGCCAGCCGCCTGGCAGGCAAGGAGCGCCGTTCGCGTTGAGGCTGGTGTGCGGACAGATGAGCAGCTGTCCCTCTCCCATCGCCGCATGTTCATGGGGAACTCGGTGCTAAATAATTCGCAGACGACCCAATTCTGGGTCAGGGTGTCATACTTAGCAGAGCAGCCACCTCGCTGTGATCTATTGAAAGTCAGCCCTCGATCCAAGCTTTTGTTTGGGTCCTACAGGTTTGCGGGAGAAACCATTTTGCCGTTGAGAAATCCAAACAGCTTATTTATTTTAAACACATGAGTTGATCCCCAATTTGGTTAATTTCACTTCTAAAACAAAGGCAAACAGGTGTTTGGTTAGAGTTAATGTTTAATTTTGATAAAACGGAAACAATCTTACTTTACTCTGTGTGTGCACCCACAGAGCAAGCAAAGCTATCCCCGGAATTCCAGACTAGTTTGTTTATGTTGGAAACCAGAGTTATCACCTTTGTTTAGATAGTGAAATGTTTAGGTACTGTATGTGTCTCTATGTGTTCATGTGAATACCTCACGAGTGCCAGGTGATCTGGAAATTGAGTCTCCGGTCACAACGTAAACCTCTTTAGCATAAAGGCAGAAAAAAGATCTGCAGACAGGCTCCTCCAACATGTCCACCAGTCATGAGAGGGTCCATGGTGCCTTACAGGAGGTCTGGAGGAGTTCTGCTGCACCCAGTGATGTCACCAGAAATGGGCAGATGCTGACCAATCCCAGGAGTGGAATAAAGCTTACCCGACTTCAGCAGCCCAAAGAGTCCTGATCAGTGTCAGTGAGTGAATGGCCCATCTCACTAAATTGGCAAAATCTGGACCACAGACGTCATAGATGAACAATGCTTTATCACAGAGAAAGACTTAGCTCCAAACAACCCAACTGTCTTTTAAAAAAAACACCCCAGAGATAAGAAAAGGAATCAAGCCAAGGACTTTATTATGTGTAAAAAAAAAACTAAAGTCTATTTGACAATGCAACGGGTTTAACAATGCTCATACACTCTGTGTCTTTGCTTAACATTTAACAAAAAAGGCAGACTGCTGTAATCAGCAACACGATTACAATTAGAACAGCTCTGCAGCAGTCTTTAGAAAGATGCAGAAGAAAAAATAACATACAAGTGCAGCCTACTTGTATGAACTCCCCATGAATATACTAGAAGTTTAAGACTTCCAGTTTTCAATACCTCTATTCTTAAGAATAAGTCAGTTTATCATCCTTACTAGTGTTCCTAGTAAATGCTTTTTGAGGGTAAATATTATTAGAAATAATCATTTTTTCATTAATGGTGATTTCTGGAATGTGCACAAGTGTTCTGAATCTCACTTTTATCATCAAAAACGTAAAGAATATATCCAAAATTTTTGAAGGGGAATACTGATCACAATTTGGATTCTTACAAAGGTTGAGTCAACTTTTTTGATGACATGTATAGTTAATATGATGGATCCAATTTTTTCAAATCAGAAATAGCACCTGCAGCGACTAATGACTTTCCTGCTTAAAATAATACAGATTAATCTGCATTGTCCTTTAATGGCATGTTACATTGAGTGTCTGAGAAGACTAAAACAGCAGAACAAGCAAAATTGCCAACAATGCTAAAACAGCTTGATTTACATTATTGTTCCACCTCCTTCCCTATTTAACTAATAAAACTGAAAAACCATTAACGCAAATCAAACACTGTGATTAATACATTTCAGACTTTGTATACTATTATCCTTTAAACTCTACTTGTCAAACACGTGATGAATGTTGCTTGTGCACTGTAATGTGCTGTGCACAGCTGAAAAGACAAAAAAAAGTATAACAGATATCTGTACTTCCAAAATAAATGTTTTCTGCATTTGGGGATGAGAGTTTGAAGCCAAAGCAAACTGACAGCGCTGGATGGAACTTCTGCCCATAAAGTAACAGCCTCACCACAGAGAGCTCTGGTAGTTAAACTTGATCTTTAACAGGTACTTCAGATTCACCTGTGCCACATCATACACAATGTATCTGAAAAGCAAGATGTTAAGGAAAAAGAACAAATCATTGGTTTATATGGGAGAATAAAACAAGCTACCCAGTCATGCTTCTGAAGCCAATAACTGGATTCCTTTCAATGGCTGGATAAAATTTGTATCAACTAACTGCAAAGAACTAAACAGGCTAGGTGTGCTGAATAGCTTCCTCGTGTTTGTAGTCTTTCTTATGCTCTTATCTTTGGGTATACATGCAATTGAGCACAATCCAACTTATTTATTGCTTTGTTATTTTCTGTGGAATGGATTGTTCCCTCTCCCCTTATACCAACCATTTTGAAACATATAGCCAGTTATTATTAACTACAAAAAACCTACAGTACACATCAGCAGAGGTGACATGTCAAGCCAGCCCAAGTCCTTGCCTTACAAGCCAAGAACACAAACAGCAAAACATTCCGGTGTTTTGGGACAGAGATGCACAGCTTTGACTGATTAAACTACATTGAGATATACGACCCCCACGAAATGATAATTGACTCCTATCCAGGTTGCTAGCAACATGGGCTATTGATCTCCAGGAACATCCTTCTTGCCAGCTGAGCCATAATTAGAGCACTCTGAACATCTCCTCGCTCCCTGGAAACATTTCCAATGAGTGTCAATTCTTTTTTCTCAACGACTGCCGACATGGATGTGTTTGCTAAATTGCTTATGCACAGTTTCAGTTTTTTATGAAATCCCAGTCCCAGTGTGCTAGTAAAGTGACACGGGCTTGAACCCGCAACACCTGAACCAGAGCTGAACCTGCATTCGGAGAGATAGCACCATTAATGCTTGAACCACTGGGGGGGGGGCTTTTTCACACCCCTTACTAGCTCATATTTGACGCTTTTACAATAAGTAATAAGCTTCCTCTGTCGTAAAACATTTGTGTATATATATATACACTACAAACATCGCCAACAATAACGGCACTGTACACATCACTTTTCCACCTTGTCTGCAATCCTGTTAAGACATATGTCCCATGGCCACATTAATGTTTGCTGCATTAGGCATAATGCAACCAGAACTGCCTGCTCTGTTCGTGATCTGTTTCATATTGTACTTAAAAGAGGCACTGCTTTAAGGGATGGAAATCTCTGGGTGCCATGTTAGGAAGATGGAAAGGCTGGTCCAGCACCTGCCACCTGTAGCGCTTTAAACTCACCAGTGTAGCTGGCAGCGTGTGGTCTGGTATTATCATATGGCACAAATGCTCAGGTCGTTTTTAAATGGGCGGCCTCCTCCAACTGGACCAAGGTGAGAACAGTGCACAGTGAGTGACCACTTTTATCCAAGCTCCAACAGGCTTAGGACAAAGCAGAACATGGCGTTACAGAATTTAAACGGTTTTACTTCCTATTCAAACCACAGGAGCAACAAATTTGAATTGTAGTCTTACTACCTTATTAAATAAATACCCTTGTAAAGTCTTGCTTCTGTCTGAAAAAGCTGAGTTACCCAAGCAAAACTCTAGAAAACTCAAGCATAGTATGCTCTGCTGTCAGAAAAGGATACTCATTGTACAGCAGGCTGGTGTCCTGAATATTAGTGTTGATGCCTTTTCCCAGTGGAACTTGCATGCCATCCAAAGTCACAGTGCTACTTGGATCTGGAGCAGTTTTACCCACACCTACAAAGAAATAAACATCAGTTAAAATGATTCAATATTCAATAATCGACACCTAGGTATACCAAGGATACCTTAACCACACTATTGGGTGACTTTCCAATATTTCCAAGTTTGGACAGATGGAATATTTCTGTTTTGCATCTTATTTTATACAACTTTTGCTTTAATGGGGATGGTTGGAAATTCATCCTCTGTGCCTACAGTTAGTTGATGTCACAGAAGGGCATTTGGTTAATCTATATGGGACTTGTAATGTGAATATGAAGTATTAAAAAATAAATGAAAATTCAGTTAAGAAGTTGCTGGATTTGAAGGATCTAAAATCGGAATCCTATTGAATTCCAAATCTGATCTTACTGCCATCGACAGTCATGAGTTTTTCAACAATATGTTCCTTTTGAAAACAACCTGGTGCACGTGTGACTGTATTCAGGGGTTGTGCTGGTACTTTTTAGGAACTCCAGTCTGAAATGCAATTATTCAGCACTTGGCATAGCTTGTAAGTCAATAAATGTAATAACTTTCAGATTTAAGTGTGATTTAATTTATCAAATGCAAGTGCACATTATCTGGGATCACAAATGATCCATTTAGAAGTTCTCTTTAATTTGTATCTATAAACTGTATTGAATACAGTATCATAATCAATCTTTGGCTGTTCAGGGCAATTTTTAGTAAGTGGATCTTAATCACGGCCTCAGAGATGTAGCCTCAGAATCCTGAAATCTGAGGATTTTAATATGGGAGTTGTAAAGAACTTCTGGCCAAGCAGAACCGCCCACTAATACTTTAGCAACCCAACACACCAAAAAAACAAACAACTCGGCCTTGTTGCTGCATTTCTCTGGAAAAAAGAGCTGCCTGTTGAATCAATTATGCTCAGTACGTCTGTTCTGCCTGAATCTACATACAACCAAAACTGCTAGTTTGTACTGATGCGATCCCCAGTTTGTGAATGATGTGTCAGTTTAATTTGGCCCATTTGACAGTGGTCCTGCCATCATCATTACTGAACTGCGGCATTTGAATGTTGCTAGGGACACAAAGGATAGACCACTGTCAGTGTTCCTTTCTGTTCTGGTAATTTGCTTTAGAACATTTTTCTAATTTGTTTTACTCAATCCTCACTTCTGTGCAAGTGTGAACAGAAGACTCCTAAGAAATCTGTGGCATGAAATCCATCATCTCATTATCTCCATCTACTTAATGGCATGTCAATGCAAGGATTGATACAAAAATAATCTAAATGTATTTTTGAAGAGTTGTAAAGAAATATTGTTCAATGTTTTTTAGTTTAAATCAAGTGATGGGTTCAGTGTGAATTATGTATTTAAGTAAAAAAATCAACTAGACACACAACGATTACTGACAGAATAAAAAGTAAAATTTCCATTTTACTATTGTCTTCAATGCTTCAATGATCAGTACATACATGATCAGGTCATCTATGAGCTTCTAGAATGACAATCTCTTAGAAAGAACAGTTCAGACATAAAATATTAACACCCAACCTTTCCTCTGGACAGACTGCTCCTCTGCTTCACTGGGACCATTAGAATTTTATAGTAATTAGTCAACAAGGGCAATTTTTAAAAGTTTTTTTTCCTCAATGACAAAGTGAAGAGTGAACTGCGCAAAAACGTTTCTGAGACAAGGGTAATCTTTATGGAATATTTAAAGTGGAACAGACTTTGAAAAACATTTCCCATTCATCTTCTGTACTCTGAAACATATATGACAATATAACCTTGTTTATTAATTTTTGAGAATGGTCCAGCACAAACTACCTACTGTTCACTAAATCTCTAAAAGTATTTTAATCTGTTAGCTACCCAATGCTGAAAGTACAGAGCAGAATTTGAATTCAGAAGAAAATGAATAAATACAAATCCTGCAAGCATACCACAGGAGAACAAAATTAATAAAAATGGAAAGTACAGAAGACATTTTCAGGAAAAACATGAGTTAAAATAGTGTAAAACTTTTCCCTGGTTAGTTAAAAGTTTCAAGAATCTTAAAAGAATATAATCACTAAATCAAAAACATTTCAGTATGGTCCTTACCTTTAACACTATGTTTACCCTTAGGTAATTTTGTAATATGCGAAGCCCTCTTCAATTCATGCCTGCACATAGGAAAAACACATCAAGTGTTGATTTTAAATGAAGATCAAGCTACAAACCATTACATTTCCTAGTCCATGCAAGTCTAAAATAGTATGTCCTGTTTGTTACAAACAAGACACTTGCAGCTATGTAAATAAATTCCCAGAGAACAGCTGGATCAAAGCTCCCCCAGGATAAAAAAGCTACGGCACTGCCAACTTCTTCACAGAAGTCTAATAGGCTTTTCTTTCCAGGACATTGTTACTTTACAGCCAGTCATCCTGGTTAAATAACCTTGCTCTGGTCTCTCATACCGATAAAAGCACATTATACTTGCGATTTTTCAGTCAGCCAGGACAAAATGCTTACAAACATGAGTCATGAGTACCTACTCTCCTGAACACTAGAATTACTTGTAACCCACAAGCTTGTCATTGGATCTGTTTCTGGACTGCTGTTGCTTTCCAGGTCCAGTACAGCATAGTGTTGGTTTTATACATTAAAAGCCTTCTTGTTGAGGCACAATGCCCTTGCAGAGTGCTATTGAATCAGAAAAGATTTTAGAAAATAACTTGCCAAAAATCAGACAAAATGTTTTTTAAAGTTTCTAGACTTTTTAATGTTTTGTTGGCTTTACTGCAAGGGAGTCTGGAGTGTAAAATGAAAGACGTTTCCTCTCCATTCATGATATTTGGTATTAAAAACCATTGCAGAATAGCACTGGCTGAAGAATAAAGATGTCCGGAATTTGATATGAAGTACTTTGTAACCTTATCCTGGATTCTGACAATGCAGTTCAAGACAAGGTAATTAACATTTTATGTTGACCTGTACTAAGTGAACGTAATTCTTGATTTTTTATTTAAAAAAATGTTAGGTACATTTTTCCTTTGCCAACTGTTGGGGATGCATTCTTAAAGAAAGCCCTGCAGTTGGTAATAGAGAGCTGAAATCACACATGCAAGCTAATGTGAAAAATACACAGCTGAAACACCTAGCTGGGTGGAGAGACTAAATGTCAGGGAGGAAAGACAACAGTCAGAAGGTGGAGAGGCTGAGATCTTTTTAAAAGTCCCCATGGGCAGAACCGCATGTGAGAAAGGGTTTCCTGCATTTGAGAAGAGAGGTACTCAGTATGGAAAACATGTAGAAGTGAGTTCTGTGGTCAGTGAGGGATACATATCTACATGTTTTCCAATTATATCTGATCAAGGGCTCTGAAATACAGTTTTATTCAGTCACTTCTTTAAAAAACATGTATAGACAGATTCAACTGCTTTTGAAAATCTTTAAGACAAAATAATAAAAGGCATGGAGGACAGGTGTCAGGGAAAGGGTTCTAAATTACTCTGGTCGTCTTCTCTGCAGTAACCATACCATGTATTCTCTAAAAAATGTTGACTTTTTTGTTTTTAATATGCTAAAAATCTTTCCAAAGTTTATTTTTATGTGTCACGGACACTCACATTTTGCTCCAATATTTCAGGATACTTTCTTGAAAGAGGAAAACAGCAAGCAGAACTAGGAAATCTTATTCGAATAGCGTCTCCCAGTCTTGGTCCCAGTGGTCTCACACATCTGCTAGTTTACATTCCAGCTGAGCTTAATTGTCCAACTGAAGCATTAGTGGAACTAACAATTTGCATGCAAGAAATATCTGATTTTATTCTACTCTGAAGTTTCAGATTTCATTGTTTTTAAATGCATTAGGGGAAAATAAACATCCAACACGTTTAGGACCTTTAAACAATCAAACTGTTCAAATTAACCCTATTATTAAGTCAATTAAGGCTTCAGTTGTGTAACAGCTTGGCAGGTACAAAACCCAGCAGGTGTGCTGGCCTCCAAGATTGGGAACACCTATTTAGAATACAGAAAGTTTCCTGTGTGCCCCCCATTTACTGAGGAAATGACTTACATATTTCCTAAAGCAACCTCTGCCAGCAGAATCAGACCCACTGGATCAGTTGTTGAGGTGTGGCAGTAATTAGCACTCTTCGACACCATGTCAGCAAAGTAGATACCTTTACCAAACATGTAACCTGTCTAAGTTGGGGGAAAAAAGAAAACAGGTAAAGCAAATGTCCAATAAAAACAGTGATCACACAGGGAATCAAGTAACAGGGGTTATATGTTGGAATAATTTACAGAACTGAAAAGAATCTTCAATTAGCCATCATGACAATCTGAAACAACTATATACACTACAGCTTTGCCTGAACTGAAATGTGACAGATGCTGTCAATGCAGCTTTTGTATCACTACAGTTAATTGGCATAATTGCTAAATTCAATTCCAGCTGTTGATGGATGATGGAACACAATTTCATTGTTTTTAGGTTGTAAAAACGTTTTCACAGATTTCTGCGTGCTTACAAAAGGCAGTAGACTGTAAATTGTAAAAACCAAACAATTAGTCAGTTGAAAAAAAAAGGGGAGTTCAAATAAAACACATTGCATCAATCAAGGCTCCAATTAAGTAAATAAGAGCTTGCCTGGAATGAAAACCAGCAGGCACTGGGTCATTAGGACCAAAAGGGTGGAGTCCTGAATTAAGATTATGGTTTTTCAAAGCCTCTCCAGCATTTCAAAAGTGGATCTCTAGCAGACAATAGACAACTTTACTGCTGCTCACTCAAAAGCTGTTCATTTCTTACCAACATTTAGGCTTTTGACTGTAAGTACGATCAGCTGTTACTAACCTAGCATGCAGTACCTTACAGTACCACCATCTATTTTGGCAATATTTTCCAAATGTGTCTTGTTTTTCTCCATTTTGCCATTTCCGACACTACAAAATGCTGCAATTTCCTAAAATTTCCTTGAAACTGTTAGCTTATACCATATGCAATTGAATCACTGTGTGAAATACTCAACACTCCAAACAAAACTGCCAACACAGATGCTGTCATCGATTTACAGTTTCCAGCACGTAAAGTTGCCATTGAGCCCGTGGGCTAAAATTAAGATTTTCAAATTCTTCGAAAAAAGCGCTGTGTGTGGAATAACTTACCACAGGGGCCTCAGGAGGCGCGATGCGCAGGCCCTGAGACAGGATACCAGCGTAGTTTGTGGCACGAGAGCCATGCCACAGCAGCTGACGGTTGGGCAAGTCTTTGAAGGGCTTGTAGCGCTGGTACTCGCCCTCCCGGGCTATCTTGAAAACCTGATGCCACAGAAATTATTCAGGTTAATGATCCATCAAATCACTACACCACTCCCTGGGTTATGTACAGGTTCCATTCCGCAAGTCTTTATGTAACCTGAATGTTTCCAAACTGGAAGCAGCCTTATCTTAGCCTTTGTGTGAACACTTTCAATTACCATTCACAATACTGCAGAGATTCTCCCTTATTTTCCATATCTGTGTGAGGGACAAAGGAAAGAGGGAAAGGAGCGCAGAACTGCAAGAGTCACCAGGGTTTACTGTCCATTAATGGTTAAAGGGTGTGTGTGCTGATCACAGAGGGGGTTAGAGAGCAAGAGAGAGAGAACATGGCAGCATTTAGCTATATGAGGAAATATATGAAATAATGAATAAAAAACATTTTAAAACTCTAGAATTAGAATAATTAAACACCAGATTTAAAACACACTTAAAACCGTAGATGTGGGGAGAGGTACCATCAACACTGTGTCGCACAAGTGGAACAGTTTGGAGGTGGAGGCACAGAATGCAACGCAGTAAGGTTGGACAGCAATTTTTGCACATTAGCATATATAAGATAAGATCAAATTATTAGCCATATACAATTTCTTGCATTAAGAATTTGTCTTTTTGCATAACCAAGCTTGGTCTCAATGAGACACTCAGACACACAGATAGAATGACCATTGCACAGCGCCCCTGGTGCAGTTGAGGTTATGGGCCTTGCTCAGGAGCCCAATGGAGTAGGATTCTTCTGGTGGCCGCTGGATTTTAACCGGCAACCTTCCAGCCACAGGTGCAGATCCTTAGCCACAGTGCCACTGCCCCGCCCATATCGATGGCTCCCTGATTGCACGATGCCATAGAAACAACACTCTCACTCTCATCGCACGTATTGCTCCTTAGCTCGAAATTATGCTCTCACTTTTATTCGCCCATGTTTTTGCATGTAATGCCTCTCAGTATCCTAGATCATGATTACAGCGGTGGAAGGTCTCTTACCTCCTCCACCTCAAGCGTGTAGGTATTATGTGTAGCAGCATGAGTGTTCTTGACGTACTCCAGAATGACCTCAGCTTCCTTTGACGTCAGATCAACAACCTGTGATGCAAAAACAACTAGTTGTGCTATCCAGAACACTGTCCTGCACATATCCAGAAATCTGACCTTTTGTTATTTCTAAAAAGATAGTATATGAATTATTTATACATATATTTTATTATTTATGAGTATTTAACCACAGTTTAGGCCAAGGAAAAAAATGGTCAGAACATTACTACTGGCCAGAAAGGACATCATTATTTTTTTAAGTGAATAATTACCCATACATTGGAGAAACAGATCTAAGTACATATTTATTTGGCAAAACCAATCATTTCAAAATTAAACAACAGCTGAAGAATTATTAGCTCCCAAATGCTATGTTTATTAAAAATGTTTGCCTGCAGTGACAAAATACAAATTTAATTGAGAAATTATCAAGGGGACCTTGTTATTGTTCTTTAGTGGTAGCTCAAGGTAATCTGAAACTTCAATAAATCAGGTGCAACTGACTAACCCACAGCTGAATGAGAGAGACTATTGTGCTGCTCAAACATTCCACTTCATTTTACACACATTTCTAATGCATTAGCCTTGGAACTGTGTTATATTTCTTTTCAACCCATTTCAGTTGGGTTAATGAAATGGCCCTGAAGGCTGTGGTAACATTTTACGAGAACAGCTCTGCACAACATGAAAAATCAGGGACCTTTTTCCTAAATAACGTTTTACTCCAACACAGTCTACATGCCTTCAAAGTCATTACCTGAATCTCAGTTTTGAGCTTCTCATAGTTGATGTCAATGGGATCTTTTTTATCATCTTCTGTTCCACCACAGAGAAGGCTGTATGCCACCTCAATATCCAGAAGATTATCCAACATCTGGACTTTGGCCTGGAAACATTTACAAATGGAAAGAACCAGAAGCTTTCAGAGTTTGCCACATTAACTTGTACTTGTTTTACTAACACAACATACTTAGCTTTAAGACTTCCAGAATTTAGGAATTAATTAATATATAGCACAGGTGTGTGAACAATAAAGACAATAGAAAAAATAAAAATCACACTGGAATGGAATAAACAGACGGTTCTTCAAATATGTCTATCATGCAGTGTTACAGAACAAAGAAAGATGGCCATATCATTCACGAAAAAGAAAACGTCCATCTTGGGATAAGATAGTTTCAAATGACTAATTAAACCTAAAATATTTAGGAAAAAATAGGTCTACATCTTTTGTACTTTTTAAACATATCTTTGAAACCATTCTGCACTAAAATGTTATCATACAGGAGTTGTGTCTAAGAATTAAAGCAAAACAATAGAATGTATTCAATAATTTCACTGTTTTAAAAACTCTTCGTTAAAAGGCCAGTTAGTTCAAACCATACCTGAACATAATCCAGATTATTCAAGAGGGGTGGTTTCTTCATCCCAAAGTCATGCGGTATAAGTGTATAAAACCGATTGGACAGATCCAATATATGTGAATCAGAGGCATTGTCAGACACAGCCTGGAGAAGACAAGCAGGGCGACATTTTCATACTGAGAAGACCAAGAGCTGATTCTGAGTTGGAATTCTATATACTACATACAAATTTTTCTAACATAGTCCTTTACAAAAAGTATGAAAATGATATCCAACACTTTATTTTGTCATTCTTTTTCAACCTTAGATATTTCTTTTTACAGCTTTTGAATGATTATATGAAAGAATTATTCTTTTTGTAATCTTGCAATAATCTCCAGTATACTGCATTTCTTTAATCTGTGCAATGCTACTGAAGACAAGAAAGCCATGCATACTAAAATAGTGCCAACTTAACAGGTGTAAATACCAGTATTGATACTTTATTTACAGTAGCCTGAACCAGAAAAGGAACACAATAAGATGTTTAAAACTTTTGGAACTCAAGCAGAAGATTCTGGTTTCCGTTTGAAGCTGAATTGGAACAGGGAATACAAATCGATTTGATCTAAGGTAAAAACAATTTATAGTTGTTTTGTTTTGGAGAGGTCAACAGTGTGTTTATCTTAAAAACAATACATATCTTAACTCACATTAACACAGTAATCCTGCTCTTCAGATTTGTATTTTCTAATGACACCTTGGCAGAATTAAATAGTCCAAATTTAAGGATTATAGCATATCGTATACAACCTGCACAACATTAACAACAGTGATGAGACCACTTAACCCACATTCAACTGGTAGACATAGATTTTTACATCTAACCAAAGTGAAACACGCAGATTATGTGGTTTAGCCAGAAAAAAATGTCTTTTTGTTGCAGCTGGTGGAACTGTTCATTAATTTCTTTTGGAAATTTTATGTACAGCACCAATTTTATCATAAAAATTTCAATTTTATTTATCCACTCTAGAAGAAACGTAGGCACTTCTGGAATGAAGTGACGGGCAACAGTGTGAAAGAATAGGCCTTGCAGTTTGAGGCCCAGACTCACCTGCTGCACCTCACTGAGGATGGAGTACGCGCTCTGAATCTGCCTCTTGCTCAGCTTGCCCAGGGGCATCTTCTGCAGGTCAATCTGTTGGGAAAGACATTCTGAGATTTCTGTGCTTCAGCCAAAACACATCAGAAACTTGATGACATCTTAAAAATTTCATTAAAATTCAAAAAATCTATTTTAAGCATGTTTTTATAAGGATTTGTAAGTCCCCAGATGCTCTAGAAATATTCACAGCCAGGAAAACCCCCTAATTTCTGTGTGTAATGTAAGATTCCCCCTGGATAGATGCCAGTGCAGCAATGCTGGCTCCTAGTTTATACAGCTGTGTAAACAGCTAGTTGGCTGTGTCAGAGTAAAAGAACCTGGCTCAAGGATACAGGAGCTGTGCCCTCTCTTGGAACCTGAAACCATGACCTTCAGGTAGTGGGTTCAGAATTCCAGCCATTAGGACATGATTCTCAGCATCCTGACTTTGTTCATGGGTACTCAGCATAATCCCTCCCCCATCCCAATTCTAGATTGCACAGCTTACGAGCTCACCTAAAACTTCACCAAGTGAGCACTTGACAAGAGTCTGTGTCTAGAGAAAGACATAAACATTGGTTTATTCCATGCTGAAAAGAAAATTCCATCTCTTTTCAGCATGGAATAAACCTATTACTTGTTCCTTTGCAGCCTACGCATGCTGAAGCAGCTACCCATCTGAACTACATTTCTTGTTCACATTTATTCTGTTACTGATTTTAAAAAATACTCAAACCTTTATGGGCTAAGACAGTCTTATGGCCTTTCAAACTGCAGTTTATTTTCATCATCTCATTCCTCCCGTCTGTACCTCAAACTCCACCATGGCCTTCTTCATGCTCTCCACATCAAAGATCATCCTAATGAGCTCCTGAACAGGTTTCTCCAGCTTGGACTTAGTGCCTGCACTGGCTGTCAGCTTCTTCACTGCTTCTTCATCCTGTCATGAACACACCAAAGCGTTTGCTGGACAAATGTTCCATACATTTGTTAAATTCAAATTTATAAGTCCACAAATCTTAACATTTGAAAACTGGGTTGGCAATGACACTGAAGAGAAAATGTTATTGGCAGTATTTTCTATTTGAAAGCTTAAGGTAAAAAAACAGACCAATAAGAACAAACTTCACTTGATATCAGAATAAGTGCACCTCTCTCTGTAAAGTCCCTCAGTCAGATAGTGAATTTCAAGGAAGATTCAATCATGAAGAACACAGAGCTTTCAAAACAACTCAGAAATAAAGTTGTATAAAGGCACAAATTAGGAAAAAGAAATAAAGACATTTCAAAGACCCTGAATATCTTTGATCATGGTAAAGACAATTACTAATAAGTGAAAGAACCTATTCACTGCCTTAAACAGGCTGTTCCTCCAAACTGGTTAATGTTGCCACCATGAGGACAGCGGCAACTTTCAAAGTTCAGTGACTGAAATGGAAGAAAATGTTCATGGATGAAAAATATCCCAGGCACTCCACAAAAGGGGGAAACGAAACCTGGCTGAAAATAGTTACATTCATTTTTTTCTCAGACTGAACAGGTCATATGCCACCCATCTGACAATGCACTATTAAAGCAACAGCACAAAAATGCACAAACTAATATGAACTTTATCACAAATCGTGCTATAAAAGAATCAGGACAAGAGGCTTTCAAACACAGAATACTGAGACAGCTGATCAGTTTAGAAGTATTTTACCTGTCCATAGTCGATCTCCAGAGGGTAAAATTTGTTTGGGTATTTTGTGAAGTTGGTGGAGTGCCAGGAATTTCCAGTTTTTTCTTCATAAAGACTTAGGAAATTTTCAATAGCGGAGTTCTTGTCAGAAAATTTATCCAATTTATTGCCACCAATAGTTGTGCCCACACGGCCCCAAGACCTGAACACCCAGTACCTGGCCAACAGAAGAAACAGTAGAAGAGCACCGAGTAACTTTCTGAAACTGAAAACGTGTAGATGATCTCGGGGACAACCACTTAATCCGAGGTATCTACACCTAGTTTAAGACATGATAAATGGATTTAGTACATCTTGATCTTGTACTGAACAATGATATTACATATTTGATTCTCTAATCTCGCCTTTGAACACAACTGTTTCTAAAGGTCCCCATATAAGGTTGTATTAGTCAGCCAATGCATTCCCATCAATATTTCCTGGTACACGTTACAGACATTAACTCACCGCTTTTTGACATCGTCTTCCAGCAGCTGCAGCTTGTAGTACGAATTTGTTCCTCTGACAATATCCACCAGACCAAGTGTGGCACTGAAGATTTTACCATTTTGATCAAGAACATGCGCACGGTCCTCCAGACCTAAATGTTCAAAACCAAGGCATAATTTCAAAGTCATTTAAACGAATACATGCAAAGCGAACTTAATCTAGTTATAAAAACTCTCAAGACAGCACACTTCTCCTTACTGCAAAAAGGAAATTTTATAAAGCCACTGCTTAAAGTGGCTGGGCTCTGAAAAACAGCATTGTGACCAAAGTTTGTTACAAGAGCTCACTATTCATACCCTGCCAAGGTTTTAAACATGAGAAGTTAGACTTAGCTGGCTGTTAAATGAAATGCCAGCTTGCATTAGCATAGGGACAGATCACAGAGGCTGCCATCATGATGTCACAGGTTTGGGAAAAGCTGTTTTCTATGAGCTTTAATTAAATTGAAGTACACGGAGCTGGTAGCAGAGGTGAGTGACAACAGGTGCACTTAAACCTAGTCAGTGTGGTAGAAACATATACACTCACCAGGATCAGAACAGAAAGGAAAAATAAAAGACACAATACTAGTTGGAACACCAGGTAACTTATCACACTATCGTGGCATTCCCAAAGAATACATTGGTCTTAATTAAAAGAATAACAGATTCTTTTAATTTTTGTTATAAATATAACATAAAAGATAACTCTGTCACCACTTCAGTTTTTAATGCAGTTGGTGAAGCAGAAGAGCTGCTTAAAACAACAAATTAAGTATTCTATTTCTTTATATGATCATTTTAAGTTATTTCAATGATGTTACTAGCTAACAATATTTGAAAATAATTTTAAATTGGTGATAACTGTTTTCATAAGGGGCAGTGGCAGATTTAAAATAAGTATAAAATGTGTAAATAGGTTAAAGTCCAAAAGCTCACAGATCACTATCGCCAGGTTTCAGGGCTCATATTTAACTCCAAGATGAGGATATCTTGTGGTTATACAAGTGAGCACTGTGCATGCTGCAGTTTCAAATACAAGCTTATATTCCGGTCACCTGAGTCTGGATCCACTGCAGCTCCTCCTTTTACTGTTAATTTCATCTTCTTGGATTTACTGGAACCTTGAAAAAAAGAAACAGATTTCAACTGAAACTCGCTACAGCTGGCACAAGAACAGTTTAGTACAAAGATTTTATACGAGATCTAAAGCCTCCTCTCTAAATATGCTTCCCAGCACACACACCATTGTCTCAAGTGCCTAATTATTCTTAGATTTAGAAATGCAAAGCACCCATTCACAAATGCTGGCACAGTGATTTAACTTTGTTCATATGTGGCTCGTAATGGGGACACTGGAAGACGATGAAGAAATGTAATCAGCATACAAGCATTCTAGCGCTCTATACCGTAAAAGGCTGGTTCAGTGACGTGTTGGTATGTTGGTATTCTGCTATAAACTCTCAGCAGTCAAACGCTACCTTCTTCTTCTTTCACTTTCCCCGAGCTCTTGCTGGCAGGAGCACCGCTGGACTTGGCAGCCGGAGCAGGATTCTCCTGCTTGATCTCCGCGCCCCACGGCGAAAGGCCGTGAAGGGACACCAGCTCCTGGAAGGCCTTGTCCGAAGACTTGATATCGGACAGGAAGTTCTCTGCCACCACCCGGACACCTGCCTCCTTCACTTCCTCCATCTTCTTGCTTAGCTTCTCTACCTCCTCTGAAAACACAATGCACAGATCACACGAGTCACACAAACAGGAAAACATCAGGTCTTAGAAATAACTACAAATTAGCTTGAGGATTAATATAAGTGTCTGGAAAAACAGCCTTCCTTCTTTGCCATTGTATCCCACCATCTCTGTACTAATTAATCTGCTACTGTCTAGCTGGATGTAGCTGGATAAGGTGTTAAGAACATTTATTTCTTTGCCAAAACAAAGCAATGCCAAAAAAAGGTTCTTAACAGTGCGACACAGAAACCTGGAAATTAACAGGAAAGCACTGGCATCTGAAAAATCTGCAGCCTGCATCTGAAAAGGAGAATGAAATAACTTTTGTACTTTGTAAAATCTGCACAAGCACTCAAATAAAATGCAGGTGTGCTTGATATAATAGTAAACCTCTTGGTTGCTTACATGTACACTAAGCTTTTAAGTCAAACTATAATTTGAACATGAATTACAGTTAGCTTATTCCACATGTTTCAATTAGCAATTTTCCAAAAATCATAATTCTAATATAAAAAACTGTTAAGCTGATTTGTACATTATTGCAACAATACTTTATTTTCTTTAGACAATGGCTTCAAATTGTCCAATATTCTTGGGGAAATCCTGAACTCTGACAGTGCTAGATTGGATCCACCTACTCTTTGTGCTGATACACAGATTGGCTTTGTTGGCCGTCCCAGTGATCTTCCCTCCCAGTTCCTCCACAGTAACTTTGAGCTCGTCCTTGTTCTTCACCAGCTTCCCGATGCACAGGATCTTCATGCCTGTCAGGGGTTTATCTGGAAAAAAACAGACACTGTGCTTATGTTTGCTGTGCAACACAATTTCCTCTCTAATCATGACCATTTCCTCCTGGATGCTGGTCAGAAACCTGATCACATAAAATAGTGGAACATGCTACTGCTGTAGATCATACCCAATACTTAAACACCCCATTAGACGCCAGGTAGGTATAAAACAAAAAGTATCTGCTAAATGAGTTAGCTTTTTGTAAAAATAGCCTCTTTGTTAAGATATATAACCTATGTAAAACTTAATATATTGATTTTAGTGCAGGTGGGTAGCTGCGTCAGCATGTGTAGGCTGCAAAAGAACAAGTTAAAGGTTTATTCCATGCTGAAAAGAAAAGAAAGAAAACACAACGTTTCGGCTGTGAAGCCTTCTTCAGTTGTGATGGTTTTTAAGTTGATAAGAAAACTGAAATAAATATGACATAATCATAATATGACGGTGACAGACAGAATTTACATGAGGACGCAGGCTGTTTACACAAGAGGCTCTGGGAATTATCGGAAAAACGTGTGGGTGTGTAACCGTATACAATGCATAGTGTACGATCAGCCTTTTTTGAAAGTGCAAGAAAAACAATTTACATACATACATTCAGTTCAAAAGGAGTTTCAGAGCCCTATAAAGGTGAAGGCTTTTTTACCCTGTTAATATATACATTGTCTCACCTGCTGGAACTGGAGCAGACTCTGTCACACCAGCTGCACTGGTACTGGTGGAACTGGGCGCAGATGTGGCCTCTATTCGGGGGAACACTCTGTCCTGGCGTTTGAACTTGAACTTCTTCAAGTAGGGGATCTCATGGAATTCCTGCAGGACATATAGGGAAACGGATGGGATTTTGGAGCTACTCTTGTAGTTCAATATTCAGAAACAGTGTCTTTACTGTCATGCCTGAAGTCACAGGAGAATTTCTCATCTCCCATATCGAAGATGCCCGTGCGTATTTGATATAACTGTAATAAGGACCTCTGTATATTAAGTATCATCATTCATACAAGTACACTTAACTTACAAGTCTTACTAATCTGGAAATGCATTACAGTTACACAGCTTTTTCCACCAATATTCTGATGTTAACATGATTTTCCCTCTATTTATGTCTGTTTCCGCCTGGCTGCTGGTGAGGATTTTAACAATTCCGCACCTTAGGAGTGACCCAGTCCTTCCGGTTGGGCGTCTGCGTTTTGGAGACACACTTGGTCCAGGCCGAGATGTTTCCGGTACAGTAATAAGCATCACTCTTGAAGACCAGCTGGCCTTGGCATTCTTCACAGGGTTTCAGGGCACCAAACGCCATGCAGTCAGAGAGGCTGTCCAGGATCTGACAGAAGAAAAGTGATACAGCAAAACAAGAAACATCAAACAAATGCTGATATATTTGCCTCTAAAATACAAGTTAAGAAAATGGGAATTATGTTTTGACTGTCGCACGTTATTTTACCTACAATACATCATTTACTGCACTGTACATTTCTAAGAGCACTAAAAGTATGCTATTATGAGGAGACATTATTCTGATTACAGGGTTTTAAAATGTTTTTTTTTTCATTAAGGAAAAGTTTTTTATTTATACCTATTATGAATAGTAATTCTGTGTTCACTCAACAGCTAAGAAAGGGTTACTTCTGACTTAAAGACAATTCGGGATGTGTAAAGACTTATGGCATTAAAGCCTTATGTTAAGTTTGGGAATGGGTGCACAATCAACTGAAAACAATGCAGCATAGGCAAAAGACACAAATACTGGTGATGAGCAAATGTGTATACATGTAAAATGCCTGAAAAAGTGATTTTCTCATGCCCTTCCAAAGAACTGCTTTGTTTCAATGATAACTAAATTGAAATGAAGGCTATTACTAGATTACAAAGGAACAAGTAATAGGTTTATTCCATGCTGAAAAAAAGAAGAAAGAGAACACAACATTTCGGGCGTGGAGCCTTCTTCAGGTGTGAGAGACAGGGCAGTAGGCAAAGGTAAAGTAGCGGGAGAACAAAGGTTGGGAGGAGGAGTGAGAGGCGGGGGTAGGGGACAGAAAGAGAGGCCAATCAAGAGGTGTGAAGTCAGAATGGTGCTGATTATGCAGCGACGACATCGACTTCAAGAACCAAGCCCTCGAAATGTACTCCTTTTTCATCAACAGAGGATACCCCAGCAGTGTGATTGACAGGGCCCTTGCCGGAGCCAAAAACACCCCCCGGTCAACCTGATCAGGAACTCCCGCCGTAACAACCGCATTCCTTTGGTTCTTCCTTACCACCCTAACACACTTCCTATCCCCAGGACCATTAACCACAACTTTTCCATCCTACAGGATGATCCCTCCATCGGGGCCCTCTTTTCTGATCGCCCTATCATCTCATATCGCCGACCACCTAATCTGCGTAACCTCCTT